CTGTTAATATCTTGACAGTTCGCGCTATGAAAGACCTCGGAATATCAATTGATGAACTCTCCCAAAGTCACTTGATGATTCGAGGCTTCAATCAAGAAGGGCAAAAGGCAATTGGAATGATACAACTTGATTTGGTCATTGGCGGGCTCAAGGCAAGCACTCTATGCCATGTCATTGATGCAAAGGCTTCATATAATCTCCTTTTAGGTCGCCCGTGGATCCATGAAAACGGTGTAATTCCTTCAACATGGCACCAATGCTTTATGTATGAAAAAAATGGCATTGTGAAGAAAGTGATCGGTGATGAGACTCCATTTACTGAGGTCGAGTCCTACTTCGCAGATGCAAAATTTTACTTAAAGACAAAAGTGTTTAAAGATAATGATGCTAAAGGGAATGATGTTTATCGCCCTTTGACCGAGCTCAAATTGAAAGAAAAGCTCGTTGAAGGTGTGGAGGGGCTCATGTTTCCTCTTGCACAGATCGAGATATCAAAACCTCCTCAAAAGGCCCCTAAAGAGGAAGCTGAAAAGAAATGTGATGCTAAGGTCTCTCACACACGTATGAAAGAAGGATTTGATCCAAATGCATATAAGCTTCTTGTTAAAGGTGGCTATGATCCTAATGAACAAAAGTTGGGGAAGCTCATTCCAGAAGCCGGTGGAAAAGGAACACCGAAGCAAAACAACTTACGAGGCCACATTGGATTGAGTTATCTTCAACCTAAACCTATAAAGATCCTCATAAATAGAGCCGCAATACATCATATCAGTGCTGGTGAGGAAGATGAAATAACTTCTAAGCCAAAGTACTCCGTCTTTGATAGGATTGGGGGGGGGGGGCAAGATCAAGACCCGCCATCTTTGACAGAATGGGGCCGAAGCCAAAGAAGATCGTGAAGAAGACTTTACAAGAATGGCTTGAAACGAGCCCGATGATGTTGAAACACGCTGAAGGCCTATGCATTGGACAAAACTTCAAAAGAAAGTCTGTTCATGAAAGATTGGGATTGAAGCAAGAAAGCAATAAATTTGCTAAAGTTCCTCTCGAAAAGAAAAGTCTTAATGAGTATAAAAGCTTTATCCCATCTCGTATGAAACGAGAAACCGATGTGAAAGTAACCTATGGAAGTGCATTCAAAGTCAAGCCAATGACCATTGTGCACACTCATGGTCAATATGAAGACCAATATGTGAACTCCTGCATTACCAACTTTGAGGATACAGTACCCTTCATGTCAGGGTGTGCATATGACCAAACAAAATGTTAAATACCTAAATCACCAATGATGTTGTAAGTGGCTAAACTGCTAAAACATCTCACTTTGTCTATGGGTGAGCATAATCATAGATACTCTTGGCCCACTAGAGTTTAAAATGTGTATGACAAGCTCTTGGCCCACGAGAGTTTAAAATGTGTACGGCAAGCTCTTGGCCCATGAGAGTTTAAAACGTGTACGGCAAGCTCCTGGCCCGCACGAGTTCAAACTGTGTACGGTCCCGTCAAATTACCAATTCAAATGGTACATATGAACTACATTTGACTTGATCTCCTTCATAGGAGTACGTAGGCAGCTCAAAAGTTTCATTTTTGAGTTCAGTTATAACAAAACAAAACCCAATTAAGTTTTTAGCCAAAGGGATTACGAAAAACAAGTCATACCAAGATGTGAGAGTTCTCAAGTCTGCGCCTCACCTGAAATTGATTGAGTTGAGCTTCGAACATCATCTTCTATCAGCGCCGCTCTAACCTTCAAACCGTTGAAGTGGTCGTCATTCAAACTGGCTGAATGGCCAGCCTTCATAAACGGCAAAATGGCCACCCTTCATAAATGGCATCAGCAGAGCTTTGTATTCACAGGCAATCGGACCAATTTCTTAGATTGGTGCCACTAACCAAATGAAGGGCCCCAAGCGACACCGACGATATGCAATCGGCCTAATTCTTCATATCGATGCCACTAACCCAACGAAGGGCCCCAAGCGACATCGATGACTGGCAATCAGCCTAATTCTATACATTGGTGCCACTAGCCCAACAAAGAGCCCCAAGTGACACCAATGACCAACAATCGGCCTATATCTTTAAATCGGTGCCACTAGCCCAACGAAGGGCCCCAAGCGACACCGACGATATGCAATCGACCTAATTCTTCAGATCGGTGCCACTAACCCAACGAAGGGCCCCAAGTGACACCGACGCCCGACAATCAGCCTAATTCCTTAGATCGGTGCCACTAACCCAACGAAGGGCCCCAAACGACACCGATGACTGGCAATCGGCCTAATTCTTTAGATCAGCGCCACTAGCCCAACGAAGGGCCCCAAGCGACACCAATGACATGCAATCGGCCTAATTCTTTAGATCGGTGCCACTAACCCAACGAAGGGCCCCAAGCGACACCGACGACATGCAATTGGCCTAATTCTTTAGATCGGTGCCACTAGCCCAACGAAGGGCCCCAAGCGACACCGACGACCGACAATCGGCCTAATTCTTTAGATCGGTGCCACTAGCCCAATGAAGGGCCCCAAGCGACACCGACGACCGACAATAGGACTAGCTCCTTCCTCTTCAATAAGTGACGCCATAACTTGAAATAGCTGGAAACATGGGAAGGCTCAAATTATAAAATAGGCCCGAAGGCCTAATTTATTAAAATTATAGAAGCTGGCCCAATTTCCCCGTTAACTTCTTCGCACGCGGAACAGGAGGCCTGTGATTATCCTCCATCCTTCTTCTTCTTCTACGACACCAACAGCCAGCCTTCTTTTGGCTTCTTCGCACTAGAGTAGAGAACAACGATCAATTGAAACCATCTGCTCTTCCGCACAGGCACAAGAATATCATCGCCAACAAATCTCGTTCCTGCTTCTCGCCAAAGCTACCGCAGAGGCGTCAAAATTGAACCATCACGAGCCTCTCTTCCAGCGAACGGTGGCTCCTCACCATCTTCTCCGGTCAGGTCTTCTTCTCCAGTGAATGGCGTCGGAAACGAAATCAGACCTATCATCTTCTCCGGCGAGCAACACCACCTGAAGAAGATCGCCGCAGACCATCCACACCAGAAATCGATCTCAACTTCAGCAAACTGACCGCACAATGTCCAGCAACTACAGCGACATCATTGAATTGATGATTTCCTTCATAAACGCCGACGAACAAACAGCTGCGACCGACACCAACAGTCCGACGAGCAGCACCAACCACTACTCAGGCATAATCTTCTCCGTCGATAGCAGCAATCTGCCAAGCTTATTTCTGCCTCTGGATTCTGAGCGCCAGTTGGTTGAGATATCCCTGCAATTTGATAAAAAAGGGAAGCTTAATAAACAAAGGAAATATTATACCTGCTGATTTGCCGATCTCTCTTCCTAAGGCTTTAGCCAGGTTCTTGATGCAGAAAGAAAGCAGCAAGGTTAATATTTATAGATGTTGGTAATAGAGTTTGAGTAAAATGTAAGTCCCGAACTCGATAAACTTCAAGTCAGATATAAGGAATTGAAGTCCTAATACGAACTAGAATGCTGAAGTTGAGAATTTGAGATTGAATAGAATCCTTCCTATTGGGATATTTGATTCATACGTAGCTAGCTGATCGAGCACTATAGAATACGGAAAACAATTTACTACTTATTGGGCCTATGGGAAAATTTGAGTCCATTTATTTTGAGACTTACTTTTCTCTCGATCCGAAGATCCAAGCAAGTCTCAAGGGGGCATTTGTGGACATATAAAAATTATTGGACCAATGTTCAATTCTGTAGGGCTTCTCGTGATGGTTGTTGGGCCTTATAAAAATATTAATATGGACCCATTCGGATAAAATTTAATAATTAAATTAATTTGGGTCTACATACCCAATTGATTCAATTATAAATTAAATCTTTAAAAGAATGGACCGGTCCTATTAATTTCTTTATTTTGAGCTCATTATTAAATAGTAGCCCAATGAATAAGAGTCATTATCCAATTGATAAAGAGAGCAATGAATATGGTTAAGAAATCCATCTGTATGCATGGAAAATGGCTGCGAACCTTGTTAAAAAGGCTGTCCAGATACATCGAACAAATCCTGATTTTTCTGGCTATTAAATGCAAGCAAATAGAGCACAAAACCCATTTTATTTGAGGCCCAAGGGATATGGACGAATTTCCAAAACCCTAAAGCATATTTTCATCCCTTCCACACCTATAAATAGGGGTCTCAGTTGAGAGGAAAAGGAGAAGAATTTTCAGATGAAGAAACGCTGCAGAAAAGCTCTCAAGAACTCCCGAAAGGCTCTGAAAGATTCCAAAGAAGAGGAATAGATCAAGCCACGATTTATATTAAGAATATACGAATAATCCTTCGTGATTTCATCGATTCTTAATAAAATAAATCCAAAAGTTGAAGAACGTTCGAAGATCTGAAGAACGAACCTTGAAGATTCGAAGATCTGAAGAACAAGACTTTGAAGATTCGAAGATATGAAGAACGAATCTTTGAAGATTTGAAGATGCTCATATGAAGATTGAATTGAAATTCAATCGAAGATCAAGCCATATATCCCGGGAGGCCCTTAAACAAAAGAACAAGCCATAAAACGGCCCTTTTGTTGAAGATCAAACTACTTGAAAACCGGAGGCCCTTCAAGTTGAATTCTTAATTCAAGAAGATTTGAAGATCCGACGAACGAAGATTCGAAGATTCGAAGATCTCAAGAACGAAGATTTGAAGATCTGAAGAACGTTCGAACATTTGAAGGATTAAAGATTTAATTTTGAATTAATTTCTTTAATTATATTTATTTCAAATTGCAAGTTAAGAATCAGATGATTCATACTTAGAGATTGTACCCAATATTCTCACATATTATTATTTACGATCAATTTTAAATAAATACTTAAAATTTGTTTGATAAAGTTATACTCCCTCCGTCCCTTGTACTTTTAAAAAAAACTTTTTCACTTTCAATTCCAAAAAAGTCTCTCTTCTACGTGAACCTCAACTACAGGTTTGCAAAGTTTTAAGGTTTGCAAAGTTTCAAGGGAGGGAGGTAGTAACATTCATCTCTCATTCGATTGAGCGTGCGATACGAACCCTAAGGGTCCAGGAACTACAGGTCGTCATCCTGTAGGGGTCTCCATTGGCACCGTCGTCCGGCCAAATCATCCTTGAGTCGGTGGTGGCCAAGCTTTGGCGCAGGCTGCCATGGATGTTGCTTCCATCTCTGTCGCTGAAAAGGAGGCAATGGATCACCACTCTACCGTCATTTCAAGTCCTTTGCTCGGAAGTCCCACAACTCTCATCTCCTTCTCCGGTTGAAGTCCTTGTCTCTGAGGCTCCCTTGATAGGCGACGGCTCCCAATTACTCCCCTGTTCATAGCTAAATTGCTACGTGGGTATAATTTTTTTTAATAAACAAAACGGGACCTGGTGTAATTTGCCCCCTTCAATTTTAATCATGCTCGAAAAGAGAGATTAGTGTGAACTACTTTGCTTTCTTTTTGTTTATTTAGACGAGGAAAAGAAATGCTTCTTAGAACAACATGTCGTCGTCTTCACATTTGAAAGCTTCCCGTTTTCTCACCTTTGAAATCTCCAATAACCCGCAGCATGAGCCCCTTATGTTTTTGGCTGACAATCTCTTACATTTCCTGCAAAACTGCGTTTCCACCAAACAGGTCCAACAAATTCACACCCAGTGCCTCGTTCACTCCATTCACAAACCCAACTTTCTTCTCCGGAAAATCATTCAGCTCAAAGACTTCACCTACGCTAATATTTTCTTCTCTCACATCCCCTCCCCTAACGAGTATGGTTTTAACATAATGATCAGAGCTCTGGCTACTACGTGGCAACACTTTGCCTTCGCCTTACAATCTTATTCCAAGATGAAGTCTCTAGGCCTAAAACCTGACAATTTCACTTACCCATTTGTGTTCATATCATGTGGGAGTCTTCCGGCTGTACACCTTGGGAAATTAGCTCACTGTGAGGTGGTGAAAAGTGGGCTATGTTTGGATTTTCACATCAGGCATTCGTTGATTACGATGTACTCAAGGATGGGTGAGTTGGGACTCGCACGGAAGGTGTTTGATGAAATTGTCTACAGAGATTTGGTGTCGTGGAATTCAATGATATCAGGGTATTCTCAGATGGGTTGTGCTACAGAGGCTGTGGAGTTGTTCGGATATATGAAGGCTCAGGGTGTTGAACCTAATGAGATGACACTTGTAAGTGTTCTTGGAGCTTGTGGGGGCTTGGGGGACTTGAATTTGGGGAGGTGTATTGAGCTCTATGTTCTACAGAAAAAAGTTGAACTAAATTCTTTCATAGGCTCTGCTTTGATTAGCATGTATGGGAAATGTGGTGATTTGGCTTCAGCCAAGAGGATCTTTGATGGCATGAAGAAGAAAGATGTAATAATCTGGAATGCAATGATTTCAGGGTGAACACCTTTTTCCCTTTCCTTAATCCTGTTAACTGCCTGCTATGTTTTCATTTCCCCTTTTCATTTGTTTATGTCATCATCATTTTCGTTTGGTGCAATACATGTTCAAAGTGGTGCATATCATTGAGTTTGTATGTTAGTAAATTAAGCATGGTTAGTATGTGATCTCACCCCTATAAATATGTAGTGGGGAACACAATGAACAGAATGTGAATAAACTAAACTATTTCTGCTAATTTGAAGTGTGAATTATCTTAATCATAAATGTGCAACACAATGAACAGAATGTGCATTGTTTCGGGTTGTTCTCATTTCTCATGGGTAGAACTGTTCTCACCTACACCGTCCTTTATATACATATAGTAGTGTTCCTATCATACCGCACTAATGGAATTAGTGTCAGTCCAACTTCATTTTTTACTTAAAATGAAGTCAATGATTTAAATTTTTGTACTCATTAGTTTTTACTTTTAGTTTCAACTGTGAGATCTTAAATTTGTTCGTATAGAGAACCTACAAACTCAGTCTTTCAACCCTATTTTTTGAAAATATTTCATCTTAAAAAATAAAAATTAAGCTTGGGAAAAATAGTTTTTCCAATTATCTAAAGGCTGAAACTAATTGTCGAAATGAAATAATAAAAAAAGTGGATTATTTCATTCATTTTTTGGCCAAAATGAAGTTGGCATGATAGGGTCCCCATCAGGTGGACTGGTGTGATCTTTACTCTCTCTCTCTCCCTCTCTCTCTCTCTAGGGGAGAGTTCTTATGAGAACTCATTTTAAAATGAGAACTTTTAATCTCAATCACTAATTTTTATAATCAATGGCTAATATTGACAAAGTGTCCTTTTGTAATTATTTACGAATAATTGCAAAAAGGCCCCATTTAAAGTAAGTATAATTATGAATATGATCCCATGTGAATATTAACCAATGATTGAAACAAATGAAAGGTTGAGATTAAAAATTCTCATTATAAGGAGTTCTCATTTTAGGAGGGGTTCTCAGTTCTCACCACTCAGTAGAACTCTATCTAATATATATATATAGGGGAGGGTTCAAGTAAAAAGGGTATTCCCATTAAAAGTGAAAACAAATCTAGACTCTTGATCACTTAAAAATTGATAAAATAGATCATTTTGAGAGAAAAATGTGGTGGCATAATTGTAAATATGTCGAATTTATATGTGCAATGCACAATAGGTGTGGCTGTGCAGGATACGAAGATAACAGTTGGGGCTGATGCGAGAGAGACTCCCATTGTACTTCTAATACAAACTAATCAAGTGCCAAAACTACACCTCAAATATATGAAACTCTGTAATTCTTGCTTTGTGGTGATAGTTTCTGAATCGCTTCTGCAGTTCTGTTATTCGTACTATGTCAGCTTGATATGATTTAATGTATGCATGACAGATATGCACAAAATGGACTTTCTGACGAAACAATCTCATTATTCAACACCATGAAGGAGGAGGAAGTTCATCCTAATAAAATCACACTGGTTGTGGTGCTATCCGCATGCGCCTCTATTGGAGCCCTAGATATTGGGAAATGGATTGATGAATATGCATCAAGAAGGGGATTGAGGCATGATATTTATGTTGGTACGTCGTTAATTGACATGTACGCAAAATGTGGAAGTGTGAGTTGTGCATACAAAATTTTTGAAAGCATGACAAAAAAGAATAGAGTGTCATGGAATGCAATGATCTCAGCTCTTGCATTTCATGGGAGAGCGTGTGAGGCTCTTTCTCTATTTGATCGTATGTTAGCTGAGGGTGACGTTAATCTGCCTGATGATATCACATTTGTTGGAGTCCTTTCCGCATGTGTTCATGCAGGATTGGTTGATGAAGGTTACCAGATGTTTAGTTTGATGAGATGTTATGGACTTGCTCCGAAAATTGAGCATTACTCTTGTATGGTTGATCTTTTGTGTCGTGCTGGGCGTGTAGAGGAAGCATGGGTCCTGATTGAGAAGATGCCTGAGAAACCTGATGAGGTTCTATTAGGGGCAGTACTTGGTGCCTGCCATAAAGTAAAAAATGAGAAAATTGGTGAACGAGTCATGAATCTTATTCTGCACATGGAACCATCAAACTCAGGTAATTATATAATATCTTCAAAGATTTATGCACGCATGAAGAGATGGGATGAATCAGCTAGGATGTTAAAACTGATGAAAGAGAAAGGGGTGACTAAAACACCTGGTTGCAGCTGGATTGAGATCGATTCTCAAGTTTTTGAATTTCTTGCTGGTACCTCATTACACAGTCAATTTGCAAAAGAAATATATGAAGTTCTTCAGTTGCAATATGAGGAGATGAAGACAGTAGCTGACACATCAGCAGCTGATTTTTGGGGCATGATTTAGGCAATGATGGTCACAATTTAGGATGTTTTTACTTGAACTGTAATTTGCTAGTCTGGTCTGAACTGGTCTGAACTGGTCTGGTCTGGTTTCTTTGTATTTTTATAACTATCCAAGTCTGGTCTGGTATGAACTGGTCTGGGAGGAATTACGCTCCAAGTAAAAACATCCTTAGCTGGATTGCTTAAAATCACTACGTACCTCTGAATCTAGTTTGTCTTGAAATAATATCAAGATTCAACAAGGATGCATTATCATATTCTATTTCACCATATTCTAAAGAGCACATAGAATTGGGCTCTAACCCATCCTTTGTCTAGAGGAGTATTCTTGAATAGTTGAATCAGATGGAGCAATTCAGAAGAATTACATATGGAGAGTGGGGGATGGTCAAGTCAATTAATATTTGTACTGACTCTTGGTTGCCGGACCTAGATAATTCGCAAGTAGTGACATCTCCTTTACCGGTTTCTGCATGATGCTCAAGTGAAGGGCCAACTTGATAGGTGTGAAAGATATTAGAATATTCTTTAGAATATGTTTTAGAAAATTCTTCTATCTTTAGAATATGCTTTAGAATATTTTTGGAATATACTCTAGGATATTATTATTGTATAGAATCTTAAAGGAATATTCTATCTTTGTAATGTATATATATATGGGCTTAACCCTCCAATGAAATACACAGAAAATCATTCTTCTCATTACTATTCTCTTTTATTCTTTCAACATGTATAAATTATTCTTCTATGACATAGAACATTAGTCCAGAAATTTTAGCTTCTCTTGTAAGTTATTATTATTACTTTGTTTTCCCAGAACCTCTCCCCAGAACATCCATTCCCAGAACATCCAATCCCAGAACATCTCTCCAGAACATCCAATCCCAGAAACTCCATTATACTCCAGTTTAGTTTCCATTTTTTCCCTTTCTTTTTGTTCCGAACCTCTGTTCACAGACCATCAGCCGACACCAACTTTAGAACCTTAGTCCAGAACATACCTCACCTACACCCTACGCAGATGCACCTTCCGCCGGTGACCAGAAAACCGAAATTCGCAACTCCAAATCACCGCGCGGGAGTTAAACTCGCCGCCGGCAGTTCTAGCAGCTTACTCACGCGTCGGCACGTGAACACGCATTTCTGGACGGATCTTCGACCGGAGACCATCGCCAGCCTTGCCGGAGTATCCTCTAGTGATATCCAGGTACACTTCATTACAATATTGGAGGGTTTCTTTCTACAGTAAACGTCCTAAACGTCCTCTTGCGAATGTAGACATGCCACTTGCGTTTCTGGCGCTAGAAGGAGGGCTATAAGTTCATTAATATCTTGTTTTGTTAAAAAAATAAAAAAAATGGCTGGTTTTGATGCTGACTCTTCAACGGTAACACAAAATCGTTCTTTGATAGTTTCTGAAGTTATTCCCATTAATTTTAAAATTACTGAGAATAAACTTTGTGGCTCCAATTATCTTGAATGGAGTAAAACTATCAAACGTTATTTAAGAAGCATTGATAAATATACCCACCTAGTTGATGACCCACCAAAGGAGGAGGTTGATAGAGCTGCTAATGATGCCTGGCTTCGTGATGGTTCTAGATTATTTATCCAGATTCAAAACTCCATGGAGAACGACGTCATGGGGTACGTCAGTCATTGTGATACTGTGAAAGAACTGTTTGATTATTTGGAATTTATGTATGCAAGCAAAGGTAATCTTAATCACATCTATGAGGTGTGCAAAGCCTTTTACAGAGCAGAAATGAAAGACAAGCCTCTCACGGCTTATTTTATGGATTTCAAGAAAACATATGAAAAGCTTAATACATTAATGCCATTTAGTCCTTATATCAAAGTGCAGCAGAAACAACGAGAACAGATGACGGTCATGAGTTTTTTGGCTGGTCTTACGACTGATTTTGAAACAGCAAAATCACATATCTTGTCTAGTGATGTGGTCTCTTCTCTTCAAGATGCTTTCAGTAGAGTTCTTCGCACTGACACTTCATCCACATCATCAGCCAAACAATGCTTTTTTAGGGCAAGTCCCAACATTCCCCAATGGAGGTGAGAAATGGCCACGCACTGGACCGATGGGCAAAGGAGTAGTATGCAACTACTGTAAGAAACCCGGGCACTTGATCAAAGATTGTCGAAAACTAAAGATCAAAAATCAAGGAAATCAAGTTGCTCACATTGCTTCCGCTACACAGCCATCTAATGGATCCATCATTATGTCTTCTGAGGAATTCGCCAAATTCCTTTGCTATCAGGAGGCTCTAAAACATTCATCTACTCCTATCTCCGATGTCGCTAATTCAGGTAATCCAAACACATGTATTGTATCTTCATCCTCAAAATGGGTTATCGATTCAGGAGCAACAGATCATATGACAGGTAATCCTAGTCTTTTTCCTCATTCCACACACCTCTTCGTACTTCTAGTGTTACTTTGGCTGACGGATCTACGTCACCAGTTCTTGGTACGTGTACAATTGTCCCAACATCTACCTTACCTTTGTCACCCGTCCTAAGTCTTCCAAATTTTGCCTTTAATTTGATTTCGATCAGCAAAATCACACATAAACTTAATTGTCCTGTAACCTTTTTTCCTGGATATTGTGTATTTCAGGATCTGTTGACGAATAGGGTTATTGGTAAAGGATATGAGTCGGCTGGGCTCTATCTCTTGGATACATCCTCACCCAAATCAATCGGGTTGGAACTGTGTTAGAGGCTCACTATCGACTGGGTCATCCATCTCTTCCGTTGTTAAAGAAACTTCATCCTCAATTCAATAAGGTGTCATCTTTACAATGTGATTCATGTCAATTTGCAAAACATCATCAAACTAGTCTAAGTCCCCGAGTCAATAAACGAGCACATGCTCCTTTTGAACTTGTTCATTCTGATGTTTGGGGCGCTTGCCCTGTTATGTCCAAAACTGGTTTTAAATATTATGTTACCTTTGTTGATGATTATTCTCGTATGACTTGGATTTATTTCATGAAACGTCGTTCCGAGTTATTTTCTCATTTTTGTGCCTTTTGTGCTGAAATCAAAACTCAATTTAATGTACCTGTTCGTATCTTAAGGGGAGACAATGCTCAAGAATATTTGTCTGCCTCATTTAAGTTGTATATGGCTCAACATGGCATAATTCATCAAACTTCATGTGTAGACACACCTCCCCAAAATGGAGTTGCTGAATGAAAGAACAGACATCTATTAGAAACCGTGCGGGCTCTTCTATTTCAAATGAATGTGCCAAAACATTTTTGGACGAATGCTGTGTCTACCGCCTGTTTTTTGATCAATCGAATGCCATCTACTATTTTAGATGGTAAAACTCCATATCAGTGCCTATTTCCAAATAATGAAAATATAATTTTCCTATCCCTCCTAAAGTTTTTGGTTGCACTTATTTTGTACGAGATGTTAATCCCCATTTAACAAAGTTAGATCCCAAGTCATTAAAGTGCATTTTCTTAGGCTACTCTCGAGTTCAAAAGGGGTACCGATGTTTTTCTCCAAGTACAGGTCGATATCTTATTTCAATTGATGTCTCTTTTTATGAAAATACACCATTTTCAACAACAGACACAAATATGTGTAGGGAGAATGATGATATACTCATTTACACAGTCACTATACTCGAGTCCAATACTTCAGCAATTCTTCCACATGTTACTTTTCCTGAGCCTAGGCCTCCGATACACTTGGTATACACCCGTCGACACAAAGTGCAAGATCACCCTCCACTTGTGGTTACTTCTCCTGATACTGATCTGATCTCATATCCTGAACCGACACCTGCATCTTCAGATCCTGTCTCTACATCAGATCTTGATCTCCCCATTGCACTACGTAAAGGTACATGGTCTTGTACTCATCCTATTTCTTCATTTATGTCGTATAATCAGTTATCATCTGCCTCATGTTCTTTTATTGCTTCCATTGATTCTATTTCTGTTTCCAAATCTGTTAAAGACGCTTTGTCTCATCCTGATTGGCGTCATGCCATGGTAGAGGAAATGAATGCTTTGGATCTTAATGGTACTTGGGATTTGGTAGACTTTCTTACAGGGAAGAAATCTATAGGATGTAAGTGGGTCTTTGCTGTAAAGGTTAACCCTGACGGATCCGTTGCTCGATTGAAAGCCCGATTAGTTGCGAAGGGTTATGCTCAAACCTATGGTGTTGATTATTCTGACACATTTTCTCCTGTTGCTAAATTAACATTTGTCAGGTTACTTATTTCTCTCGCAGCAACTCATGGTTGGCACTTACATCAGTTGGACATTAAGAATGCATTCTTGCATGATGATCTTCAGGAGGAAGTTTATATTGAGCAACCTCCGGGGTTTGTTGCTCAGGGGGAGTATGGGAAAGTTTGTCGACTTCGCAAGTCTCTTTATGGTTTGAAACAGAGTCCCCGTGCATGGTTTGGGAAATTCAGCCAATCAATTGAACGATTTGGGATGATAAAAGGCAAATCAGATCACTCTGTATTTTACAAACGAACGAAAGCAGGTATTACATTGCTTGTGGTGTATGTCGATGATATTGTGATTACAGGGAGTGATAATGCAGGTATTTTGGCCCTAAAGAATTTTCTTCATAGTCAATTCCAGACGAAAGATTTGGGCTCATTGAAATACTTCTTGGGAATTGAGGTTACACGGAGTAAGAAAGGCATATTTGTATCTCAACGTAAATATGTGCTTGACTTACTAACTGAAACAGGGAAATTGGGTGCAAAACCAAGCCATATTCCCATGATTCCCAATGTGCAACTCACTCATTAAGGTGTGTCATTCGAAGATCCAGAAAGATATAGACGATTGGTTGGAAAACTTAATTATCTAGCAGTTACCCGTCCAGATATTGTGTACTCAGTGAGTGTAGTAAGTCAATACATGTCATCTCTGACAGTTGATCATTGGAATGCTGTAGAACATATATTATGTTACTTGAAGGGGACACCGGGACGAGGTATTGTTTATCAAAATCATAATCACATGAGAATAGAATGCTTTGTAGATGCTGATTGGGATGGATCTAAAGATGATAGAAGATCCACATCTGGATATTGCGTCTTTGTTGGTGGTAATCTCGTCTCTTGGAAAAGTAAGAAGCAGAATGTGGTTTCTCGTTCGAGTGCTGAATCAGAATATCGGGCTATGACACAATCGGCATGTGAGATAATCTGGATAAAACATTTATTGAGTGAAATGGGATTGAAGACACCAATGCGTGCTAAACTTTGGTGTGATAACCAAGCTGCTATATACATTGCCAACAATCCAGTGTTTCATGAGAGAACAAAACATATTGAGATCGATTGTCACTTTGTTCGAGAAAAGATACAAGAAGGATTGATCTCTACAGGATATGTGAAGACTGGAGAGCAACTTGGAGATTTGTTCACTAAAGCACTCAATGGAATTCGTGTTGGTTACTTATGTAACAAGTTGGACATGATAAATATTTATGCTCCAACTTGAGGAGGAGTGTGAAAGACATTAGATTATTCTTTAGAATATGTTTTAGAATATTCTTCTATCTTTAGAATATGTTTTAGAATATTTTAGGAATATACTCTAGGATATTATTATTGTATAGAATCTTAAAGGAATATTCCATCTTTGTAATGTATATATATATGGGCTTAACCCTCCAATGAAAT